TGTGCTTTTGTCAAATTTACAACATTTTGCAAAAAAAAAACCACAACATTTTGCAAAAAAAAAAACCCACACACACACTTTGTTGCTTACCTGCCATAAGTAGTTTTATTTCTGCCCATCCAGTCCTAAGCAGCCCCGTGTAGCAGGGTTAGGGTAGGAGGCCTATGACTGGAGGTAGGAGCAGGATGTGCTCCTATCTAAACTCAAAAATACTATACACATAAAAGATGGCTTATGCTCAACGTCTCAAACCCAAAGTATCTGAACAAAGGAATCCCATCTGTGATTGACCGCAAAAACAAACCTTTTATTGATCTTAGATCGTAAGCTCCAAGGAGCAGGGCCCTCCTATCCCTCTTGTATTGAACTGTATTGTTGCTGTATTGTCTCCCGTTATATTGTAAAGCGCTGAGCAAACTGTTGGCGCTATATAAATCCTGTATAATAACCGCTTCTCAACCACCCTATAGCAGATATACTGCTACAGTGCGGCAGGGGTGCGCAAAATCACCTGTATATGTGATTTTGTGTTTCTGTGTAGGGCATGCGCACGCCGCGATTCACGGCTGTCAATCACCGAGTCCCGGTGGGTGATTCCCAGCCGGCGCCCGGTGATTACCGAGCATCTCCGACGGGGAGGAGGACTGCTTTGTTTACTAACAGTCCCTGTCAGCTCGGGCACACTGCTCTGCACAGCACAGCCATCCAGAGCAGTGTGATTAAAGTAAAGCCCACACTCCCTGCGCACAATTAAACCTTTGACCGCCCTTTATGTTAACCCCTTCCTGCCCAGTTCCATTAGTACAGTGTCTGCTTTTTCTTAGCACTGACCACTGTATTGGTGTCACTGGGGATGTCACCTAGTCAATTCCCCCCAGTGTCAGAATGCCCACCACAGTCCCGCTATAAATCATTGATCGCCGCCATTACTAGTAAATATAAAAAAAAAAAAATCCCAGTATCTATACCGTCATTTTGTAAATGCTATAATTTTCACGTAAACCAATTAATTTACACGTATTGGCATTATTTTTTTTTTTTTTTTTTTTTTTTTAGCAAAGACATGTAGCAGAATACATTTAGGCCTAAAGTTATAATGAAATTTGATTTTTCTAAGTTTTTTTTTTTTTTTTACTGGACATGTTTAATAGCAAAAAGTCAAAAATATTTTTTTTTTTCTCAAAATTGTCAGTCTTCTTTTCTTTTTCATAGCACAAAAAATAAATGCACAGGCGATCAAATACCACTGAAAGAAAGCTCAATTCGTGGGACAAAGGAGTAAATTTCATTTGGGTGCAGCGTTGCATGACCGCGCAATTGTCAATTACAGTACCGCAGCGCCATAACGTAAAAAATGGCCTGGTCAGTAAGGGGGGGTAAGTCCTCAGGAGTGCAAGTGGTTAAAATGACACATAAAACACAATAACATTAACCCAATATAAAAGAAAATGATGGGTCAGAGGTGCTAACCATGGATCCAATGAATCAAATGTTATCCATATGATGTGCTCATATCTCCTGAGGACACATAGGCTAACATACAGGGGCTTTTAGAAAAAAAAAAAAATGTAAAACGCCTGTAAAACAGGAATTTTTTTTTTTTTGTGTGAGCTGCAGTGTGCATGAGGCCTTAGAGTGCATGCATTAAAATGAAGAAAAAAAAAAAAAAAAAAACGCTAACAGGGTTGTTAGAAGAGACCATTGTGGTCTCAACTGTCATGCCTCTCCCAGCCTGTCAGTGGCAATGCTGTCTGACCCACACATGCGCAGCTCAGACCACATTTAAATCACCAACATAACCTCATGTAAATAAAAAATGCATTTTTAAATGATTTCATTTATTAAGGGGAAAAAAGCTGTCCAAACCTGCCTGGCCCAATGTGAAAAAGTAATTACCCCTTAAGCCCCCTGCCGCATAACCCAAGTGTGCTTGAGCTCATGAACTTTGGACCGGACATTCTTCTTCAGGATTTTCTGTAAGATCGCAGAATTCATGGTTCCATCAATTATGGCAAGTCGTCCAGGTCCTGAAACTACAAAGAAGCCCCAGACAATCACACTACCACCGCCATGTTTGACTGTCGGTATGATGTTCTTCTTATGAAATGCTTTATTACTTTTACGCCAGCTGTAACTTGATGCACACCTTTCAAAAAGGTCCACTTTTGTCTCATCAATCCACTGAAAATTTTCCAAAAGTCTTGGATAATCAAGTTTTTTTTTTTGACAATTGTGAGATGAACCTTTGTGTTCTTTTTGGTCAGCTGTGGCTTTCCCTTGGAACTCTCCCATGGAGGCCATTTTTGCCCAGTCTTTCTGATTCTTTGAATCATGAACAAGGCAAGTGAGGCCTGCAGTTCTTTTAGATGTTCTGGGTACTTTTATGACCTCCTGGATCAGTCGTCACTCCTTGTGTTCGTCTCTGTTCCAAGTTTTCTCCATTCGTGGATAATGGCTCTCACCGTGGTTCACTGGAGTCCCAAACCCTTAGGAATTGTTTTGTAACCCTTTCCAAACTGATACATGTCAATTACTTTGTTTCTTTTGCATTTCTTTATATCGCAGCATGATTTGTTGCTTTTTGAGATCTTTTAGCATGCTTCACACTGTCAGCTTCTTTTTAAGTGATTTCTTGATTCAACAGGTCTGGCAGTAATCAGGCCTGGGTATGGCAAGTGAAATATACCATTTACCTTGGCTTTCCAACAAATGTGGTTAATCAATTCATTCATGATGTAGCAAGGTGGTAGGGGTGGAGAACGGGACGACGTGAGGCCTTGGGGGAATTTTTTTTTTTCTTCAATGCCTTTTAAATGATCTTCCATGTTGGCCTGTGCATCCATGCACACATAGGTGTTTAAAGGCAGAAACAAAACCCACAGCCAGCGTGTTCAGGAGAGGAGCGTTTTACAGCTAAAAAAAAGCCTGACGCATCTACATGCTTGTAGACTTTGGAATAAACTAACATTCTGGCCCAAAAGCTTGACTCCTCTAAACACATTTGCAAAAAATCTAATTTAAGTGCGTTTTATGATGCTGCTTTTCTCCTGGGAGGAGAAAGTCGTTTAGAAGAGCTGGACAATAGTCTGTTGTGCATGGGGCAGAAATGTGTAAGTGGTATAATTGTTTTAACTGCTGCATGTCAGTTGGTCACTCTCCCCAACTTGCAGAATATTACAATTAAATTTCCTCATTTCTAAACGTCGAGCCCTGTGTGTTTTTTTGCTGAGAAGCCAGTGTTTATCTGGTCATTGGTTCAGCAGCTTACTAGTGGCTTCTGCTCCTTAGCCCATATCTGTTCCGCCTCGTGTAACACATACAATGAACACCTGCTTTGCATGCACAGCCGCATAGGGCACCTCTGTGCTGCTTTCCCAGAGCCGAATAATGAACATCCTGTTTATTAGAGAATGCTGCTGTTATTATCTGGGGAATGAGCTCTTATTTATATTGCGATCAGGGTTTATGGCAGAGTATCGCACATTTTATCACTGCTCATGGTTACATGATGATGGGGTTATTTAAGCCTACTACACACGATCAGAAAAGCGTAAGAAAAATACCACTTTCGAAGCGATTGTATGATAATCTGATTGTTAGCACACAGCTTTTGTCCGAAATTATTTGAAGGACAAGCACGAACATTTTTTTTGACTATTTTTGTTTAATCAGTACAGTTTTCATCTATGCCGAGGCAACCAGTCTGCCCATTCTCCTCTGACATCAATAAGGCACTTCATCCACACAACTGCCGCTCTCGGGATATTTTTTCTCTTTTTCGGACCATTATTATTATACAGGATTTTATATAGCGCCAACAATTTGCTCAGCGCTTTACAATTCTCTGTAAACCCTAGAGATGGTTGTGTGTGAAAATGCCAGTAGATCAGCAGTTTTTGAAATATTAAGACCAGCCCGTCTGGCACCCATAACCAAAGTCTGTCACTTAAATCCACTTTCTTCTCCATTCTGATGCTCAGTTTGAACTTCAGCAAGTTGTGTTCACTACCCTGGAGATAGTTGTGTGTGCAAATCCCAGTAGATCAGCAGTTTGTTTTAAATACTCAGACCAGCCCATCTGGCACCCACAACCAATGTCACTTAAAACGGAGCATCAGAATGGGGAAGAAAATTGATTTAAGTGACATTGGTTGTGGGTGCCAGATGGGCTGGTCTGAGTATTTAAAAAAAACTGCTGATATACTAGGATTTGCACACACAACTATCTCCAGGGTAGTGAAGACAACTTGCTGAAGTTCAAACTGAGCATCAGAATGGGGAAGAAAGTGGATTTAACTTCAGCAAGTCGTCTTCACCACCCTAGAGGTGGTTTTGCGTGAAAAATCCCAGTAGATCAGCAGTTTTTTGAAATACTCAGACCAGCCCATCTGGCACCCACAACCAAAGTCCAATGTCACTGAAATCCCCTTTCTTCCCCATTCTGATGCTCCGTTTTAACTTCAGCAAGTCGTCTTCACCACCCTAGAGATGGTTTTGCGTGAAAATCCCAGTAGATCAGCAGTTTTTGAAATACTCAGACCAGCCCATCTGGCACCCACAACCAAAGTCCAATGTCACTGAAATCCCCTTTCTTCTCCATTCTGATGCTTCGTTTGAACTTCAGCAAGTCGTCTTCACCACGTCTAGATGCCTAAATGCATTGAGTTGCTTCTATGTGATTGGCTGATTAGCAAATTGTGCTACCAAGCAATTGAACTAATAATGTGGCCGGTGTGTACCTAATAATGTGGCCGATTTATTGTCATTGTGTGTGTATAGGGCTTAAGTAAAGGAACACAAGGATTAGGGGTATGCAAACTGTAGTAACCCATAGCGACAAAAAAAAATTATTGGTGGTAAATTGTGATTGGCTGCTGTGACCCACTGCAATTTGCACATTACCCTTCTCCTTACTGAATACACTAGTAATAGATTCATGCATTAAAAAGTAAATATTGTAAGAGAGTGGACTTGATCTGTGCTTTTCTATTGTTGTTTCAGGGTGAAGGGTGCCGTACTCTTCCTCTTTCTGGGCACGTGGGATTTGACAGCCTGCCGGACCAGCTGGTTAACAAATCAATTAATCATGGCTTTTGTTTCAATATCCTCTGTGTGGGTGAGTATTTGCAGACATGCTGACTTTGTTAGGAGAGGCAAGGATCCAAAAGATTGTGTATGAATAGCACCAGAAGACCAAGACTTCTCAAACTGTGCTGAAAATGAGCCCATTCAATGGCCGGACATGGATGAATACAGTATTGTGTGTATGACTTGTTTACAGCCAGCTACACAGTGCTTTGTAACAAGACAAATTCAAGATCACTTCAACACTGCAGTGTTTTATTTGAGAAAGATGGGACCTTTTTAGTGTACGTCCATGCTCATAAGAATGGTATGGGAAAATGGTTTTGACTTTCTTAGGCAATAATGTATCCATTGCAGGTGCTTGAATGATCTGTCACTGATTTGTCATCAGAGCGGTTGGGAAGGGATGTAAGTTTTTTCTTTTTACCGCCTGTCGAAAGATGGCAACGCAGAGATCGGTTATTTTATTAATAAGACATCTGAAATTGTCCACCAAAAGCACCATATGCCTTTTGGGGCCAGTTCACACTCCATGCGTTTCAGTTGCTTTTTTCTCTGCATCCAAAACGCACAGAAAGTAGGTTATATGGTTGTCGATGTCATAGTTTACATTAGTGCTTGCAGTTCCAGTGCATTCCGGATGCAGAAAAAAAGTAGAACCCTATTTAAATTGAAGCAAAAGGGGAAAAATGAACTAGAATGCTTAAAAAACGCACTGGAACTCGTCATAACCGCATGGGAACACACAACAAACGCATACAAAATGCATCTGGACTGCGTTTTTATAGTGTGAACCGGCCCTTAGGCTCCATGTACACTAGTGCTCCTAGAAGCTATTATGAGCATTTAGTTTTCTGCACCTAGAAGCAAATAGTATCCTATGTATCCATGCACACTATTTTATGCTGGAGGTATTCTTTCAAGCTTCAGCTTCTAGGAGCAAAAAAAAAAATTGTAGAGTTTTGGGTGCGTATTCCAGGCAGAAAAAAAAAACTGAACACTCCTAAATGCTCCTAACCGCTTTTTTTTTTTTATTTTATTTTTCTTCATGTACTGTAAAAATGCTAATAAAAAGCCAACGCACCTAAATGCTTCTAAAAAGCTACTACAAGCCAGCACAACAATGTTATTATCAGCATTTTGCATCCAGAGTTTTTTCTAGCTTTTTTTTTTTTTTTCTTTTGAGCTTATATGTGCATGGAGCCTTAAATATTGCTGTAGCAGCAGCTTTCTTCTTATTAGACATAAAGAAAAGCATCTTGACTGCAAACAAAAGACACTTAAACTGGACCCATGTGTGATTGTTCACAAAATCGGGCAATTCAGCCAGAGTGTATAGTGAAAAAAGGACTAAGCAGAGTTTTTCATCTCAAGATAAAGGCAGCTAAAGTTTTTTTTTTTTTTTTTTTTTTTTTTTTTTTGTGCAATTTTTTTTTTCCCCTGACACCTTCTGGACCTTCCTATTGGTCCTATAAAGAATATCTAAAGCCAACATTTCATATTCTGATATGTGCCTGCTGTACCATGTACTTATATGAAAAAGTATCCTGTTCTCCTTGCATTGCTTTTATTTATGTGAAATTCCGGATTGTCCTACCAGTCCCTCTGCTTTCCTATTAAAAACTGTTCACACTAGGCATGAGAGAAGAGCATGGTCAGTTCTCTAGCTGTACTGGGAATTCAGCCTGCTCTTATCCAATTATCAAGCTTGTGCTGACTCCCCCCCCCCAGCCATTCACTTGAATGATCAGTGTGCTCCTTAAGCAGCTGAGAACAGAGGGTATGTTATCACTTATAAAAAAAACTTTTTTTTCCCCCCCCTTTTTATATGTATACACAAATGTTTTGCCAATTTATTTCTATTTTAAACTGGATGAGTTGTTTTACAAGGTGAGTGTTTACATATACTTTAATGCGGTGGCACTGGCAAATAGGGAGGCTTTGAAGGTGTAAGAAAGCCGGTTAGTTCTCAACTTCTACAGGAAAGAAAAAAAATCAAGATTTTAAATTTGGATGCCTGTATCTCTGGATTTGCTGTTTGTTCTGACACGATGGCCAATTAAAACTTGTATGTTGCAGCAGTAGTTCGTTAAGGGCGTGCATTACCTGAATTCACCTGTTCTAAGTGTGTTGCAATGTCATGCAATGTGAATGGTACCCCAATGCACTGTACAGTAGAGTTCACCGCATAATGTACCAAACCACACATGCCATATGTTGTGGTGTGCTGCATTGCTAAAAAAGGCTCTTATGCATTTTTACAGCCATGTACTGCAGTATTGCTCCCCAGCTCTAGTTAGATCATTCACATAAACCTCCATATCTTCATTTGCTGGTATACTACACCTCATATGACTTCACACTTGTTTTCAAAATTTTATAGTAGAATTTGCTCATGGCTTCCCAAAATTTCTAGGGAAGAGCTCTACAGGCCAGCAAAGTAGAGAAATGCTGGATTTTAACAGGTGAGAATAAAATTGACAATTAAAGGAAAAACTTGCAAACAAAATCCTAAGACTGGAACTAAACAGGTGAGAAAATCAAATAAATTTGACAAAAAAAGGCTTTTAGTACAAATAAATGATTGTGTGCACCAATGCATGTCTGTTTATTATATATTGACTGTTATTTTTGCTTGTGGCTTTTTTTTTTCTTTTAAATATGTTTTTATAACAAAAGTTAAATATTCAGAACTGAGAGAGAGATCTTCCACTTAGCTGAACTACTTTGCTGTGTGCGTTCCATTTTTTAGTGCCTAAAATACATTGGGGAACAAAAACTGGCTAAATATAGTTATGTTATTTCAGAACCTTGGAGATGGAGAATTTTCAGAACGTCCTTAACCTGTTTTACATATGTGTTAAATCCATTACTTCACTTTTAAGAGGAAATACTATTTCCATTTCCAGATTTGGTAGAAATGCTGCAACTCTGAGGGGTACAGTGAAGCTGTTTTACCAAAGGAAAGGAGAAGCTTCATTCAATACATTTTGTGAACAGCAATGCAGACATATGAAAAGCTGTTTGCTTTAAAATAGCCATTCATGCAGATAAAATAAAGAAACCGTAATTTGCTTTTCATATGACTGTATAATTTAAAGTGCATATCCACATATAGCTAAATATCTTGGTGCTATCAAAGCACTGATATATTTAGAAAACCAGTGTGTTTGTGTTTTGTTTTTTTCTATGAGCGCTATCTTGTGTAAAGTTGAAAAGTAGACAGACTTGAAGTATATCTAAAGCAAAACCTAATTTTTATTCATTTAGAATAGAGTTGGGTAAGGGACTTGTCTATGTTGTATGTCATACTCTAAATTCAACATGTGAATTCATACCCTAAATGCAAGTATAACATGGTGTGAAATTTGCAGTTAGCCTTTAAGCTGATGCAAAATCGGTCATTTTGCATGCAATTCAACTAAATGTTGAAGTATTCTGATTTTCCAGGCTGCGATTTATAGAATCCACTGCAGGCTTTTGCAGCCTTTTTTCCTTCAAAGATTCCATTGAAATTTTCAGGCTCTGGGGAACACCCCTGCTAAAACCATTGAAGATCATTGGGTAAAATGCCCCTTATGTTGGTGGTAGGTGAGTGGAATGCCCTCCTTTTACAGTGGTGGTCAGAATACCACCCTTACAGAAGGCTAAAAGGCTTACTTGTGTCATACAGCTGACAAGTAGTGTTGGCCCTGGGACTATGCAGGCACCATCAAATAGGAGGTCAATTATCCACAGCTCAAATTCTAGCTACTCTCGAGGAACCCGGTTAAAAAAGGTTATCTTACTGAAACCATTTCCCTTATGAGTTGGGTTTTGCCACAGAGAAATATAAAGAAAGATACCAATTTTCATGAGTGACAATTCATGTTCTCCCTGTGCTGGGTGTGGGGTTCCTAGTATGTGTATGTATGTTTGTAATATGTTAGGGACTTTAGATTGTACACCCCTTGAGCACGGGTTAGAGACTGATGTGAATGTAAAAGAGATATTTTATAGTATTCAGATATAATATCTTTTATTACCACACAAACACACACACACACAACCACATTTAGGGGAAACAGTTCTGTGTGGACCGATGAGGTTAAAAAAATTGACACACACACACACATTTTTTAATTTGGGTCCACACACACAAAATAACATGGGGTTGGTCAATGTGTGTTTTTGTGCAGGGTGGCACAGGGTAGTAGAAGGAAAAAATGAATTGTGGTGTGTGTATGTATTTATGTATGTATGTGTATTATCCACGGGTTCTTTATAGGCCTTCACAATATATTATATATGGAATATAAAGAGCAGTGCGTGACAGACAGCCCAGAAATCTCAAAGAAACATACAGTGGGGCAAATCGAAAGTTTGGGCTACAAAAAGCGTTTTTTTGTGATTTTTTTTTTGTATTAGGGTGCCCAAACTTTTTGCAGACGCCATTTTTTTTGTTTTCTGTTTGAAAGTGTGAAAGTGCCAAAAATGATGGAAATTAAAATTTTAACTTTTGTTGACATATTATAAGAATGTCTAATCTGTAATTTGATGCCTTTTGGAGATTTTTCCATCTTTTCTTGGCTTCTTTATGCACATTAATACAAATTTTTTAGCTGGGGTGCGCAAACTTTCGATCCCCACTGTGTGTGTGTTTTTGTGTGTGTGTGTGTGTGTGTGTGTGTGTGTGTATATGTATATATATATGTATATATATATATGTGTGTATGTAAAGCGCTGCGTAAACTGACAGCGCTGTATAAGTACCTGTAATAAATATGTTTTGTGACGGGGTGGGGTCCCTATAGTGTTACTGCATGGAAGGCTGTGCTACTTGTACTTTCATCCTAAATGGAGATCAGCTTTTAACATGTCTGCTTTTTAGATTCTGTCTTGATGAATGGCGGCTATGTCCCCCCACAACCACACTTACACACATCACATTTTCTCTCTCCTCACTTTGTAGCGGTTTGTTCTTTATTGCTGCTGCAGGGTATTGATTTTACTAATGTTTTTGTCTTAAAGGTGAAACTGGTCTTGGAAAGTCCACTCTTATGGATACATTGTTTAACACACAAAATTTGAGGGTGAACAAAGTTCTCACGCCCAGCCTGGAGTTCAACTAAAAACTTGCACATATGATCTCACAGAGAGTAGTGTACGTCTGAAAATGACTATTGTCAGTTCCATAGGATTTGGGGACCAAGTTAATAAGGAAGACAGGTGAGCTTTGTATAGATTATGCAACAAGCACATGGCAATTGTAATCTTTTCAATTTAAACCTTTTAAAGTAAAGACTCAATATGGAATTCAGATTATCACCATTCAAATGTTTGTAAGCGCTGGCCAGAATGGATTTTTTTTTTTTTTAAACTCAAGGTTTTCTTTTAATTGAAGCTTGGTCAATAAAGTAAAACTCCAGCCAAAATGTTTATCTCCCGTTCATCGACATGCACATATTCTTAATTGTAGATTAGCAACCACAGTGTTGTAGTACCACATGCAGGAGTAGGACGCTTCTAGTTCTGGATGAAGTTGGGAAAAAATTAACACCAGACTTTCATTTTCCTCTGTGTCCCTGCTGGAGTGATTCATTCTTTGTCTTGGTGACCATTATCACCAGAACAAATGGTAGGAAAATACACATTTTTAGAGTTGCCGCTAGAGCAAGAAACAAAGGAAACTCTCTAGCGATTTTTGCACTTCCATATTACTTGGGTATTTGGGAATTGGTGCTCTTAATGAGGTGTCGATCATGACCCTACACACACCTACCATATTTAAAGTGTCATTAAACCCACATCATAAAGAACTATCAATAAATGCTGTATTGCATGCTGTTCATACTTACTCAGTCACTATGGGATTTGTTTTCTGTATTCTGCAAAAAAAAAAAAGCCTGGTCCATCCTGCGGTTTTCTATCTCCCCCTCCTGTCCATGTCCCCAATGCAGTTGGCTGCTACTGCACATGCTCAGTTTTCAGTGAGTTTCTATGCTGAGCATTTCCTCTCTATCACATATGAGAAGCCCATGTGACTATAGAGTCACACATGTGGAAGTATACTCAGTGGTAAAGGACAGCCCACTCCCTCCCCTCCCTCCCTCCTCCCTCCTCCTGCATGCCCACTAACCAGCTAAACCCAGAGGACTAGAAGCTCCTCCTGCTTATGCTTCCCTGCAGACAGGCTGGTTAGTAGGCATGGAGGAGGAGGGAGGAGGAAAAAGGATTAGGAAAAAAAGTACTTGATTTGTGTTGTTTTTTGTTTTTTTTTTTTTTTTTTTTATTAAAATAATTAGTGCCATCATCCACATACAGAAAGAGAAGGGATAATGTAAATTAAATGGCATGCATTACTTTAATCAAAAAACACATTGTAGTCTTAAAAAAAAAAGAATGGGTGTTCTGTGCCGAGTGAGCAACCCCCTGGGTTCACTATGCAAAAGGGCAGCTACACAGCACAGAACTTGGAAGACCACTGTAGTAGCACCGATTTGTCCGCTTCCACCACAGTTCCACAGGTATGGAATATGTGAAGTATTTTTGTAAAAGATGGTGTAGCGCTGTGTGTGCTAAAATTAAATTAAATATTATCAAATCATATTATTGTGAAAATGATATAACCCTGTGTATCCTCATTAACGTAATAGAATTATAAAGTGCAGTATAATCCAAAAATTAGATAATTATAATCAAAGTGACCAAGTATTACACTGTGACATACATAAATGGCAAAAAGTGAAAAAATTTAAATGCACAAAAAAAAAAAAAAAAAAAAAATATATATATATATATATAATCCAGATTTTTCAATTCTTCAACTTTTATATTACAACTTTACATTGCGTACTCATATAAATGGTGCCAGTCTATCCATCACCTTCTGGTGTGTGCGCTCCCCTCACAAATTCAACCCTTAAGGAGTCATAGAGCAATCAATATCCCCGGATGATCCCAGGCTGGATGGATCTCTCCCTTTTTAAATGGACACAGGAACAGCTCCCACCAAAATCAAACAAACGGTCAAACACATCTTTAAGGGGTCTTCAAATGGCTCAAAAAGAAGTCAGAGATAGAACTTCCATAGTGTAGTAATTTATGATGTTTATTGGGAAAAAAAGATTCCATGCCAAAGGGCTACTCGCATTAAAAACAAGGGTCACAGACCCATCAAGCATGTACTGTGTATCCCACAGTCAGGTGTACATATAAGGAGTCCCAAGATGGTGATTGCCTTCCATACATAATGATGTCACCACGCTCTATTCCCTGACTTCTTTTTGAGCCATTTGAAGACCCCTTAAAGATGTGTTTGACCGTTTGTTTGATTTCGGTGGGAGCTGTTCCTGTGTCCATTTAAAGGGAGAGATCCATCCAGCCTGGAATCATCCGGCGATATTGATTGCTCTATGACTTCTTGAGGGTTGAATTTGTGAGATGAGCGCACACACCAGAAGATGACGGATAGATTGGCACCATTTACATGAGCACGCAATGTAAAGTTGTAATATATAGTTGAAGAATTGAAAAATCTAGATATTATATTTTTATTTAATTTTTTTTTGTACATTTTAATTTTTTTCACTTTTTGGGACTTTTTGCAACTTATGTATGTCATGGTGTAATACTTGGTCACTTTGATTGTAATGATCTAATTTTTGGATTATACTGCACTTTATAATTCTATTAAGTTAATGAGGATACACTGGGTTATATCATTTATTCACAATAATATGATTTGATAATATTTAATTTTAGCACACACAGCGCTACACCATCTTTTACAAAATTATTTTTCATCTTATCTTTATCGGGTGTTAGCAACTACTTCATCCCTTGAGAGGATATTTGGCAGCGCAGGAGTCCACCCCTTATTTAATTGAATATGTAAAGTATACTTATTTTTTTCTGAGCATAGACTGATATAACTATGCAACAAAATCCTTACCTGGAGCCTAGCTTTAAAGTTGTCATAGGTATGTGAATTTGTAAATTCCCTGCATGGCAGCGCTCTGATTATGACATGAAAGCCTTCCAGATTCTATTGTGTAGTGCTGCCAATATATTACTCTAAACAGAATAATATAACAAGGGCTTATTCACACGGATGTATCTGAAATCTGTCCACATATACACAGGACCTTGCTGGCAGAGGCTGACTGAAATATTCTGTGGTTGATTTACTAAAACTGGAGAGTGCAAAATCTGGATTTTGCACACTTCAGTTTTAGTAGATCAAGCCTCCCTGTGTATTTGCTGTATGCGTGTAATGTTTGAGCAACGTTGGCATATGTACAGGGACTCTATTGGCTGCAGCTGCTGGAGACATCTTGTCAATATCAACAGTGTGCAATCTGTGGCGCCTGCTGATTATACACTGTCAGTCTGAATGAGTCATTGAATCACCCATAGTTCATGGGCAGAATGACTATCAATGGTCAATCTATTGGTGGCTTCCAGTAGGGTCTCTGAATGCTTCCTGCTTGTATTCATTAGCACAAATTTTGCATACATTGTGAACATTATGATGCATGCATACATCATGAATATGAATGAAATTACAGCCTTGGATTTTTTAATGCAGCTGCTTCAGTGGTCCCATAGACTAGTGCACAACTGTGTACAGAACTATATGCTGTATGCAGAATATAATACCTCCATGTGAATGAGCCCCAAGAGGCATAGATTTGGTTTAATCAGTGAGCTGCTGCTTTTTCATTGTCCAGTCAATAGGATGGGACAGGTAGGTGACACTATGCTATTTTTGCAGTATGTTAATGAACAGAATCATTCTTATTCTGGTAAACCAGTTCTTGCTGGGTGTTTAGTGATTTGGCTAAAGTTGAATAATTGAGAAAAAAACCATAGCAGATATATCATAGGTAGGTACTAAAATGAGGTTTATACAGTGCATCCAGAAAGTATTCACAGCGCTTAACTTTTGCCACATTTTGTTATGTTACAGCCTTATTCCAAAATGGATTAAATTCATTTTTTTCCTCAACATTATACAAACAATATACCATAATGACAACATGAAAGAGGTTTGTTTTGAAATCTTTGCAATTTATTAAAAATAATAAACGAAAAAAAAACACATGTACAGAAGTATTCACAGCCTTTGCGATGACACTCAAAATTGAGCTCTGGTGCATCCTGTTCCCACTGATCATCCTTGAGATGTTTCCACAACTTGATTGGAGTCCACCTGTGGGAAATTCAGTTGATTGGACATGATTGGTAAAGGAATAAACCTGTCTATATAAGGTCCCACAGTTAACCATGCATGTCAGAGTGCAAACCAAGCCATGAAGTCCAAGGAATTGTCTGTAGACCTCCGAGACAGGATTGTATCAAGGCACAGATCTGGGGAAGGGTACAGAAAAATGTCTGCAGCATTGCAGGTCCCAATGAGCACAGTGGCCTCCATCATCCGTAAATGGAAGAAGTTTGGAACCACCAGGAGCTTCCTAGAGCAGGCCACCTGGCCAAAATGAGCAATCGAGGGAGAAGGGCCTTAGCCAGGGAGGTAACCAAGCACCTGATGGTCACTCTGTAAGAGCTCCAACGGTTCTCTGTGGAGAGAGGAGAACCTTCCAGAAGAACAAGCATCGCTGCAGCACTCCACCAATCAGGCCTGTATGGTAGAGTGGCCAGATGGAAGCCACTCCTCAGTAAAAGGCAAATGGCAGCACGCCTGGAGTTTTCCAAAAGGCACCTGAGGAACTCTCAGACCATGAGAAACAAAACTCTCTGGTCTGATGAAACAAAGATTGAACTCTTTGGCCTGAATGCCAAGCATCATGTCTGTAGGAAACCAGGCACCGCTCACCACCTGGCCAATACCATCCATACAGTGAAGCATGGTGGTGGCAGCATCATGCTGTGGGGATGTTTTTCAGTGGCAGGAACTGGGAAACTAGTCAAGATCGAAGGAAAATGAATGCAGCAATGTACAGAGACATCCTTGATGAAAACCTGTTCCAGAGCGCTCTGGGCCTTAGACTGGGGCAATCATCTTTCAACAGGACAATGACCCTAAGCGCACAGGCCACATAACAAGGGAGTGGCTACGGGCCAACTCTGTGAATGTCCTGGAGTGGCCCAAATGTGAACCCGATTGAACATCTCTGGAGAGATCTGAAAATGGCTGTGCACCGACGCTCCCCGTCCAACCTGATGGAGCTTGAGAGGTACTGCAAAAACAAATGGGAGAAATTGCCCAAAAATAGGTGTGCCAAGCTTGTAGCGTCATACTCAAAACGACTTGAGGCTGTAATTGGTGCTAAAGGTGCTTCAAAAAATGTATTGAGCAAAGGGGGTTTGTGTGTGTGTGTGTGTGTGTGTGTGTGTGTGTGTTTTATAAATTGCAAAGATTTCAAAAGAACTTCTTTCATGTTGTCATTATATGGGGTATTGTTTGTAGAACGTTGAGGGAAAAAAATGAATTGAATCCATTTTGGAATAAGGCTGTAACAAAAAATGTGAATACTTTTTGGATGCACTGTACATGTAAAATATTTCCTGTATAAATATAAGTGTATGGTACTAATGCATATTTCCACGCTAAACAGAAAAATCCCAGAACATTTTAGTTGTTTGCTGTCAAAGCCAGTTGCTGGTTTGTTTTTATCTCATCTGTAATACAGAAGATGTTACAGGGATCTCTTTGGGTATTCTTCACATTTAATTCTTGTGATTTTTCATATTGGTCCCTCTATATTTAGTGAACTTTATGTAGTAAATCTAAAAGGTGATTTGTAGCAATCAGAGCGGACACTGTATACACATGACTAGGTTGTATAAACTCTCTTGTTTTAAATACCCACACACTTGTTCACTTTTATCTTAGTTACAAGTCCCTTGTCGAGTTCATTGACTTCCAGTTTGAAGCCTACTTGCAGGAAGAGTTGAAGATTAAGCGAGTTCTTCATAACTACCACGACTCTCGTATTCATGCGTGCCTGTACTTCATTGCCCCCACTGGTCATTCCCTGAAATCTATAGACCTGGTCACTATGAAGAAACTGGACAGCAAGGTCAGTGTTGGAAAACAGGCTAAGATTGCATAGCCATCTCCTATTTAACTTGTTATACTGATGATGATTATTATAATACAGGATAGGGCCAACAGTTTGTGCACAGCCTTACAAAATAAAGCGAGTTCAATACAAGAGGGTTTACAGGGCTCTGCTCATGCGCGAAAAATATTGGCCATACATTTGTTGCCCATAAAGGAAAGTATAAGTAGATAGGATAAGGAGTATCTAGTTTTGTTTTTTGTTTTTTTTTTTTAATTTCAATGATTTTTATAAAGTTTTTTTTTTTTTTTTTTTTTTAAACAATTTTAACAAAGGAAAATTGGAGCAAAAGACAAGCCCACGCAGGGGTTATCAATGGCCAACAATGTAAAAGGCGCGCCCACATAGGGGCCATTAAAGGTACATAAATAAAAAAACAGTGATATAACACCAACAAGATACCAAAGGCAAGTATCTACCGCCTCACAGATTCAAACAGAAAAGAAAGGAAAAAGGAATAAAGAAGAAAGCAAGACCCGAAGCAGGAATCCCAGAACGCCAATACTGTCATGAACCTAGACTAGCTGAGGGAAGCGCGGGAAAAGCACATGTCAACCATGGTTCCCATGTTTTCAAGAATTTCCGTTTTTTTTTTTTTTTTTTCTTTTTTTTTCTTTTTAACCCATATATGTATATCTAAACAGGAACCCGCTCCCACTTTGCTGGAATCGCCTAGGCCAGTGGTCGGCAAGCCGCGGCTCTTTACACACTTTAATGAGGCTCTTCTGTGTGCCGGGGCGCCCGCTCCCCTCCCTCCTCTCGGGCGGCTGCCCCAAAAGTCAGGACTCTGCAGCTAGCCCAGCAATGGGCAAACTACGGCCCGCGAGCCGTATACGGCCCGGCGGACCTTTTAATCCGCCCTGCGGAGCGTGGCAAACATTGGCTGTCAGGATGTAGGCTGGGCAGCGTGATGAACTCCTCTCTCTCACAGTCCGCCCTGAAGACCGGAACGGCGCGGGAACACGGCGAGAGGAACGCGCGAAGCAAAGGTAAGTGAATTGACACTATAGGGGGGATGAATTACTATAGGGGGGATGAATTACTATGGGGGGGATGAATTACTATGGGGGGGGATGAATTACTATGGGGGGGGATGAATTACTATGGGGGATGAATTACTATATGGGGGATTAATTACTACTATGCTTACTATGGGGGGAATATTACTATACTTACTATGGATGGCATGGTAGTGGCTGGGCCGGCCAGCAGCTAGTCCGGCCCCCGGGTCCAATATATGAACCCATTGCGGCCCTCAAGTCAAAAAGTTTGCCCACCCCTGGCCTAGGCGATCCCAGCAGAAGTTTGCCCTCTTGCCTCCCTGCCTGCAACCTCATGGGACACATCAGCAGTCCCAGGAGCCTGTGGGACCATTTAGAGAGTGTAGCGCTGCTCGCGAATGCTCAGTGGGAAGCAGACTGTGGTGCCACAGGAAGTCACAGCCGACTTCCCACATGGTGGCTCCGGGGACCCAGAGACTAACAATTAACTGGCCCAGATAAGGACAGCTCATAGACTTGCCTTGTGAAAAGGAGCAGCAAAGGCAGCCATTGTGTAGTAATGTAGCAGGATTCAGATATAGATATATACTGTATATGGTGCATATAAAACTGTGTTTGTTTTTTTTGTTTTTTACCATGAACATGCATTGTTAGGATTAACTGATCACCAGATGAATATCTGAGAGGCTTTTAGGATGTACCTGTTAGCTAGTCTTTGTTATGAGATGGAATTCTAGCTGTTGGTGCCCTCCCCCGAGGGACCACAGAGGTTACACATAGCGTAAGCTGGCTGTTTAACTTTAACTAGTTGCATCCTTCAGATTTAATCATAAGTATTAGTTAAAGCGGTTGTAAAGGCTGGAATTTCTCTTCTAAAATTAAAGACATGATGTTCTTTGACACTAGCAGGAGCCTGTGAGAAGAGGAAGAGCGCTGCTACAGATGGGCACAATGCTGGATTGAGATATATAGGGAGATGAGCAGTGATAGTACTTCTAGGACATATTTTTTTTTTTTTTTTTTCGCCCTTCATGCCAGAAAGTCATTAGGGTAAAAACTGTCTAGCCCTTAGAACCATTTTTAAATTGCAATTGTATTCATTGCTTCTGTAAATTGTTCTACTGAGGATAAATGTGCATACCATATTTGTAATTGCAGTGTTGAGCAATTTAATTTGAAAAAAGCATGATTGTTTTTATATTAAAACAGAACTGCACTGCATCTGCGCACCACAAACCAAAAACACTATTTCATGAATGTTTAATGTTCAAAGCAAGCTTACCTATGCATCCATGTATTCAAGCTTTATTTTGTTGAAAAATCATTTTGAAAAACACCCCCTAGCATTTCTGGCCATGGCCATCTTGAATAAGGGCGGATGATTCTTGTAGCATTTACTTCCTGGAGTACATCTGCCCTTGGCTCAGGCATGCAAATAGGAGGGTGTGTTTAGCTGAGAAATCCCCTCTTCCCATCCTTAAGACTCCTTCCTGGGATGCATGACATCAATTGTCTAGGCTCAGTAACCATGAAGTATCTGAAGAAATGTAAAAACAAAGTTTTAAAACAATTAAATGTGATAGTAAATAGATATACTTTTCTAATACAGCATAAAGATTAAGAATAATCAATGTTGATTGAGAGAATTAAATTCCACTTTAAGTAATTCATCACATTCAAACAAACACATTACCAGACTCCATGACAGTGTCCTATATGGTTGTGCATACATGGTAAAGTCCGGCACATAAGTGATGATAAACTGTGGTGTGTTTCATTTTCCTCTGCAGGTTAACATCATTCCCATCATTGCAAAGTCCGACTCCATTTCAAAAAGCGAACTAACTAAATTTAAGATTAAAATCACGAGTGAACTGGTCAGTAATGGGGTGCAGATCTATCAGTTTCCAACTGATGATGAAACTGTGGCAGAAATTAATGGGACAATGAATGTAAGTGTTCTCCAGACTGTTTCTTTCATAAACTGTTAACTTGTCACAAAGCATGCAAATATTTGGTATGAAAATGAAGAAGCAGAATAAAATTGTGTATATATTATAAATTTATAAATGCATGTTTGTATTGTTTCCTTTTATTGCTTTTTAACACTCTTGGTTTCTGTAGGCTCATTTGCCATTTGCAGTTGTTGGGAGTACAGAGGAAACCAAAATAGGAAACAAGATGATGAAGGTCCGGCAGTACCCATGGGGCACTGTTCAAGGTATTTGGTTGACTGTTTATTCTTCATGTCTCTGACTTCAGCTGGTTGTGCCTGAATCTTCCAATTCAACATGGAAATATTCCCTTTCATGGCTCAGAACCTGAAGTAATGCTGAATACTGTGTACTGGTGTAAATTCAGATGAAGCCCAAGAGTATTTAAATGAATATGTTATGTTCTAAAAAAAAAAAAAAATAGTTTTAAAATGGTATTAAGCCCAAAAGCTAAGATTGATTATATTGCGACTTAGAAATTCTTAGATATGATGGCTGCATTGATTTTCATTTTTAGGCCTTCCTTCCTTTATTTTCACCTGGTGATCAAGCCATGTTGCTGTAACTGCTTGAAATGAGTGAGCTGGAGTCTCTCATCCAGAGTGTAGGCCCCCTATGTCCTCATGCACACTGGACGTTTTGGTAAAGTTAGCTGTTCAAAGTCACGTTAAAAACGTGTTTTTGTTTTTTTTTTTGCTATTTCCAGCCAAAAAACGTCCAAGCCGTAAAATGATTACAGTTTGTGTGTGCATGGACACATGGGATAACATGCTGGGGGGTTTACTAGCTGTAGAAAAAAAGTCAAAAGCCAAAAACAGCAGCTGTAAAAACGTCAAGTGTGCATGAGGACTAATACAGTACATATACATAATTCAGTACAGCACATTGCTTGCTGTTTGACAAATGCATATTTGTGTGTACATTTAAACACCTACTGCAGGATCTCTTTTCTTCCAGTTGAAAATGAATCACACTGTGACTTTGTAAAGTTACGAGAAATGCTTATACGGGTGAACATGGAAGATTTGCGGGAACAGACACACACGCGTCATTATGAGTTGTACCGACGGTGCAAATTAGAGGAAATGGGGTTCCAGGACACCGACCCTGACAGTAAACCTTTCAGGTATTGCTATTTTTGCAGAGGATCATGTACAGTCATTCTTCCTAGTGTAGGGACATCATTGCATCCTAGTGGTCGGGCTGTTCACTGCATCCATCTTGTTTCTGCATCACCCCAGTGGTCATGCTGTGCTCTCAAGTAAACTATTAATGAAAAGATTTTTTACTCTTACCTACTTCACTGGTGGATACAACTTGCTTTTTGTTATAGTTAGCAATGTAGCTAGTAATATAGATCAATATTCTGTCCCATCTAAGGTATCCTGTTCTTTCCTATGGATTAGTTCTTGATTTTTGGCCCCAGTACTCAAGGACTGAGTTCACTGTCTAAATGGTTGTCACAAAGCACCAACTATGCATATTGGGGTGTAGTTTGCCATAAACCATCTGATCCCCTTTTTAAAGGAGAAGTATAGCCAAAACGTTTTTTTTTTTGGCTATACTTGTCCTATGGATAACAGGAGTGCAATTAGTTATACACTCCTATGGCTTATTTTCAGCCGACAGCAGACTTTAGCCCACTGTCGGCTGACATCACTCAGCTGGTCCAGGCTATGAAAAGATCTCGACCATATGGTTGGGATGCAGACAGATACCTGGGTCAACCTCTCAGCAAACCGCCAAGACCCCGAGACAGATCCTCCCCAGCTCAGCGCTACAGTGAGCACTTGGGGGGGGGGGGGGGGGGGGTTTAGAGCAGAGAGCTGGTGACTAACAATCACGGCTCTCTGCTCAGAGCAGAAGAGGAGAACTGAGCGATCAGCGGTGCTTGATTGCTCAGTTCTCACTGCAGAGCCGGCGGGGGACAGATGCAGCATCAGCTCGATGCTACATCCACCTAGGTAAGTATAAATGTTTTTTTTTTTTTTTAAGTAAACCCTTTTTCTTTTAACGTGTGAGCTTTGTTTGGTAGAACTATTATACCTGGACCTAACTTATCTTTTGTTTTAAATCATTGAATATAAAAATTAAATGTGTTTTCTGTATTTAGCCTACAAGAGACATATGAAGCAAAAAGGAATGAGTTTCTAGGTGAACTGCAGAAGAAAGAGGAAGAAATGAGACAAATGTTTGTGCAGAGGGTAAAAGAGAAGGAAGCAGAATTAAAAGAAGCAGAAAAAGAGGTACAAGTTTGCTTTAAAACATATGTACATTTATTGTAAGTCCTCCTGCGCTTCTATGGACCACCCCCCTTTTTTAATTTATAGCTGCTTACACTCCAACTGATACCAAAAACAGTGCTCAAATAAATATTACATTAGTGTAGTGCTAAAAAACATATTCCAAACAATCTTTATGTGAATGATAAAACTATATATATTAACCTTGTGAGAAATCTCACAGTGCCTGTAAACCTCTGTGCTCTTCACACGTGTCACTTAATTCATAAATAATATTAATAAAATATATATCATAATAGTGCTGTTTTGTATTTAACTGTTAAACATATTTTGTGATAGTGCCACCTCAAATAAACATATCATGTGATCGTGCCAGGTCAATTTATACTAATCAATCGTCCAATGTCCAAATAATAAATCAAAAAACAATGTAAAACAATAGAATCCAAGTGATGCTTATATACACATGCAGTGTATTTTCATAGTGCCACTCGTGTAAACACACTCTTCCACTTTGGCTGCAGTGCCTCCTCACCTCCTTTCAGCGACCCCTAGGGGCCCACACGCCTCTAGGATCACCCTGGATCCTCAACACTCCTGGATGGTACCTCTCAGGCTATCCTCCTATTTGGCCTCCTCCACACCTTCACCTTTTAAGCCTTATGGAGTCCTATACAGCGATCCTCTGTAGATTCTCACTCTCATAATAGTGAGTTCAAAAAAAGAGATGCCTGCTCTGTGCAATGGTGTGTGGGCCCCTAGGGGTCGCTGAAAGGAGGTGAGGAGGCTACACTAATGTAATATTATATTATATGTACATTAAATTATATGTGCAGACAAACTTTGTTTTTGGAAGGAGAATCCCACATCAATCTGAAAACTTTTTGACTTGAATCCCCTGATTAAAAACCCCTGTTTTGGAGTTTAGCCTGTGACGGGGTGGTGAAGAAGCAGTGGCACACCTATGAAGTCATCACTCTGTTCACTTATCCACAAGTGCTCTCTGTTAGACTGCAAGGACTGTAGTGCTCATGGGAGAGATTTCCCATGCTAATCAACAGGACAGGAGGTGAGAGGTCCTAAACCTTCCTCACTATACTTAAAAGTATATCTAAGGCCTGCATTTTTTAAATTATTTTTTTCCAAGAGTAGACTTCTAGCAAGCGAGAGAGAAATATCCACACAGTGGATATAATAAGTCTACACACCCCTGTTAAAATGTCAGGTTTCTGTGATGTAAAAAAATTAGACAAAGATAAATAATTTCAGAACTTTTTCCACCTTTTTAATGTGACCTATAAATTGTACAACTCTATTGAAAATCAAACTGAAATCTTATAGTAAGGGGGAGTAAACACAAAAAAACTAAAATAATGTGGTTGTATAAGTTGTGCACACCCTCTAATAAGTGGGGATGCAGCTGTGTTCAGAATTAAGCAATCGCATTCAAAATCATGTTAAATAGGAGTCAGTTCACACCTGCCATCATTTTAAAGTGCCTCTGATTAGCCCCAAATAAAGTTCAGCTATTCTTGTAGGTCTTTCCTGACATTTTCTTAGTCGCATTCTACAGCAAAAGCCATGGTCTGCAGAGCTTCCAAAGCTTCAGATGGATCTCATTGTTAAAAGGTATCAGTCAGGAGAAGGGTACAAAAGAATTTCCAAAGCATTAAATATACCATGGAACACTGTTCTAGTCTGATGAAACCAAGGTTGAACTTTTTGTCAATAATTCCAAAAGATATGTTTGGCATAAAAAACAACACTGCACATCACCAAAAGAACACCATACCCACAGTGAAGCATGGTGGTGGCAGCATCATGTTTTGGGGCTCTTTTTCTTCAGCTGGAACTGGGGCCGTAGTCAAGGTAGAGGTAATTATGAACAGTTCCAAATACCAGTCAATATTGGCACAAAACCTTCAGGCTTCTGCTAGAAAGCTTAACATGAAGAGGAACTTCATCTTTCAGCATGATAACGACCCAAAGCATACATCCAAATCAACAAAGCAATGGCTTCACCAGAAGATTACTGTTTTGGAATGGCCCAGCCAGAGCCCAGACCTGAATCCAATGGAAAATCTGTGGGGTGATCTGAAGAGGGCTGTGCACAGGAGATGCCCTCGCAATCTGGCAGATGTGGAGTGTTTTTGCAAGGAAGAGTGGGCGAATATTGCCAAGTCAAGGTGTGCCATGCTGATACACTCATACCCAAAAAGACTGAGTGCTGGAACAAAATCAAAAGGTGCTTCAACAAAGTATTAGTTTAAGGGTGTGCACACTTATGCAACCATATTATTATTTGAGTTTTTTTATTTTTACTTCCCTCCACCTAAAAGATTTCAGTTTGTTGTTCAACTGAGTTGTACAGTATATAGGTCACCATAAAGGTGGAAAAAGTTCTGAAATTTCTTTGTCTCATTTTGTTACATCACAGAAACTTGACATTTTAACAGGGGTGTGTAAACTTTTTATATCCATATATATGTATGTGTAATAATAAATATATATATTTAAAAGAAAAATGTTTTGGCATTGGATTCACTTTAAAGAGATTATATTATTATTATTATATATATATATATATATATATATATATATATATATATATATATATATATATATATATATATATATTTTTTTTTTTTTTTTTTTTTAGTGAGACCTATACTTTCAGCTGACTGACAGCAGATGTTAATTCTCTTATAAATAATTTTGTGTCTGATTCCCAGCCAGTGGTGTGGGAGCCACATGCTTCTCTCAGAACTCCTGAACTCCTCTGATTGTGGTTTGTAGTTGCCTCTCAATGGAAATTTTTATTTTGAGAGGAATATGAAGGCTGCCATTGCCAACCTTATTCAGAAAACATTTCATTGCAGCAACTCAAAATGGTACTCAGTAGTTTGTATGGCCCCCATGTGCTTGTATGCATGACAATATCGGGGCATGTTCCTAATGAGACGGATGGTGTTCTGGGGTATTGGATTTTGGTCAGGCGAGCATGGGGGTCATTCAATGGTATCAATTCCTTCATCCTCCAGGAACTGCCTGAATACTCTCGCCACATGAGGCCAGGCATTGTCATGCACTAGGAAGAACCCAGGACCTAATGCACCAGCGTAGGGTCTGACAAGGGGTCCAAGGATTTCATCCAGATACCTAATCTGGTCAGGGTGCCATTGTCTAGCCTGTAGAGGTCTGTGTCCCCGTTTCCCCACCCCCTGTGCTGGGAGACACAGTAAACCTTCTGGCAATGGCACGTATTGATGTGCCATTCTGGAGGAGTTGGACTGCCTGTGCAACCTCTGTAGGGTCCAGGTATCTCCTCATGCTACCAGTAGTGACACTGACCCTAGCCAAATGCAAAACAGTCAGAAAAGATGAGTAGGGAAAAAGTGTCAATGGCCTCCACCTGTAAAACCATTCCTGTTTTGGGGGTCATCCCATTGTTGCCCATCTAGTGCACATGTTAATTTCATTAACACCAAAGCAGCTGAAACTGATTAACAATCCCCTCTGCTACTTAACTGACCAGATCAATACCCCAGGAGTTTAATTGACTTGATGCTATACTCTGGTTAAAAAGTGTTCCTTTAATTTTTTTTGAGCAGTGTAGATTTCCATTAAGAGTTGCTTTGTAAATTTTATGCTTGAAATAACTGGTAAGGATTAGACAGTTTTCTGTTTTTAACATTTATTGACAATGTTAAGTGTACTATAGCCCTTCACCATTTTTTTTTTTAATATGGTTTTGACTGATCAGTTAAAACCAATTGGTAATGTTTGCTGTACAGATTCATGAATGAATATGGTTGCTATATTGCCAGTGTAATATATCAGCTAGCGGTATATGTGTCATGTAGCACTGTAGAAAGCCTTCAAAGACGACCAGTTGTGATCCAACTTCGATCTCTTTAGTTCAGCTTTAAAGTAAATAGATCTAAATATAGAGGGGGGAGAAAATAAGTGATGTGCATTCTGCATAATTAAAGGGGGAAATATAAATAATTTACAGGCAATACCTGTGCAATTTCAATACCTTCTTGCTGAGCTCAATAGCATCTATTTCTCTTGAAGCTTTCGTAAATAAAGACATTCTGATGGTAGATTATTAATCTAAGAATACAGAAGTAAACAAATCTATTCTGCTAAGTCTTTCTGCTCTGGAAAAGTTCTATATCAGGCAGCCCACTGAGGGTTGATTGGTTTTTTGATAATTTTGTTTTCTTTTCTTTTTTAAAGCTGCATGAGAAGTTTGACCGCTTGAAGAAATTGCACCAGGAGGAGAAGAAGAAGCTTGAGGATAAAAAGAAAAGCCTGGAGGATGAAGTCAACGAATTCAAGAAACGCAAGACGGCAACAGAATTACTCCAGTCCCAAGCACAACAAGCAGGGGGATCACAGACCCTAAAAAGGGAAAAGGAGAGGAAAAAGTAAGTAAATGTATTCGAACCAGTGGTGATCAGTGTATACAGAAAATAATTACTAATGTATGAATCATATAATCATCATATAAGGTGTGTATATTTGTACATAGTTTGTCAGAATTAACATGGGTATTGCAGAGGTGCTCAACCTATGGCCCTTGGAGCCCTCTAATGTGGCCCTCCACCTCAAATTGAATGCAGAAGTTTTGGTGCTGTCAGATTGTGTACCACACCTGCAAGATATAATAGAAGTCTATGGCAAAGCACAGCTAACCCGCAGCAAAGCCGCAGGTGCACTGTGCTGCCCCAGCGGTGTGCGGAAACCACAGCGCATCAGTGTGAAAGCAGCCTTATAAGCGGGCTCAAGACAGGGCTTATTTACTTTTTTACTAATGAGTAGGATACATTTTTGTTTGGAACTTTTTTGCCTACAGATAAAGGCATTTATAAAAAAAAAAAATCGTGGGCAGAATTTTTTGTTTACATCTCCCAGACAATACCATATGAAAGTACAGCTGCTTTTACAGGTAAGGCATTGCTGCTGCAAGTCACATGCAGAGGCCAAACAATGCTGCCCATGTGTTCTGGGTCAGCAAAGATATACCATGCATTTTAAAAAAACCAGTAGGCAGTGCATACTTTTGAAGGCCTGCAGTAATAAAATGCTGTTTACCTAAGCATTCTGAATCCTCCTTTTGTGGAAAACTGATTTGCCTGTGAAGTGTTTGTGAATACACAGCAACCAAACACTGCGAGTTCACTAGGTTATGGAGTGAACTATGATGTTCTTAAAATATATACAAAGCCCCTGTGTGAGATTCAAGACTAGTCCCACAGGGGTGATGCACAAGCCTTCTAATGTGGAAAAAAATGTCTCACATACTCCCCTTTCCAGACACTGCAGCCTATAGTGGAAGGGTTTGTAGCAGCATAGGGTGTGCTGTCAATAAAGAAAGCAGTGGGTAAGGCTAGATGTGTCCAACTACTGGTTGATGAGCTACAAACTTGTGAATTAGCATCGAAAATGGGCCATAATCCCTGCAGAATAAATAAAGAGCTACTTGAAACAATAACAAGCCAGCAAATTCAGTGCTCATAGACTGAAATGGAAACAAAGAAATATAAGGAGTGTCAAATACATGTCAGTCCATAATGAACTCCGCTTCAAAGAGTGGGGCAGCTGGAACACAGTAGGGGTAGAACACACACAATTCCAGCAGCATCTCACCAAGGATATGGGGAATCCCTCATGGACATGCAAAACTACAAAGCAGGGCGCCAGATGAGTGTTGGATATAAACAGCAACACTTTATTGTAGAACACTTACATGGAAGAAACCTGTAAACCGCTCTGGTGGTCAGGGTGGCGTGCATGTGCAGCTCTCTCCAGTGTGTATGGACTGTCATCAGAGCACACTCCATGCAGTCGTCAGTCCTCTGTACTTCTTGTTCCGGGGTGTCTCCATGCCCCGCCCACATACACCGCTCTGTTGGGGTTTTGCGGATCACTCTAGTTTGTAGTTAGCACTAATGCCAAGCTCACTACATAACCATTAAATGTCAGCTGTGTGACAAAAGGAAAGAGGCAATTATGCACTGCATTCCCATACATCATGATCCTTTTTTGCTTTTGGGTTTGCTCATTGTCATTTGTTTGTTTTGTTTTTATTTAGTTCATTCTTCAGTTTTTTTTTCTATTAACATTTCATTCTCCCATTCGTTGTTACCTCTGTGCTGTTTTTACAGTTAACTCTGCTGTTTGCTGCATGGGCGCATGGCTTTGGTAAGCTATTAACATGTTAGAACTACTCAGGCTTTGTATGTAGGACAAACATGTCTGAAGGTGGCAATGTGTATAACCACTTTGTACAAGCAAGCTGTATATCCTAACACAAAAATGACAAACACTGCTGCCACTCGTAAATGTCTACTCCATTAATGTAGTGTTAAAGCAATAATATGCTTGTGATCAAGAGAGGAATTAAAAGGAATTACCTTTTGGGCTGAGGCTTTTTTTCTTTTTTTTTTTTTTTTTTTTGTGGATAAAACCTTATTTGGTGGAGGTTTTTCTTCTTTCTCTACATGAACTAGGTTTTCATAAAACTGTATAGCAGAAGGAACAGGAAAAACTGATTGGGGTATATTTACTAAAACTGGAGAGTGCAAAATCTGGTGCAGCTGTGCATGGTAGCCAATCGGCTTCTAACTTCAGTTTGTTCAATTAAGCTTTGACAATAAAACCTGGAAGCTGATTGGTTTCTATGCAAAGCTGCACTCGATTTTTGCACTCCATTTTCAGTAAATCAACCCCCATTGGCTGTTAAAACTTTCCCACTTGAACAGTTCTTTAAAAACGCTTCTGGACCAGCAACATACCCGTACGTCACTGGACTTTCTGTGTTGTTTTTTTTTTTTCTTTTGGAGCAGGGGATCTTCTATCTTGTACAAGCAATCAGAGCGGCTACTAGCCGCTCAATTGCCTGTACAAACAGATGGAGGGGATGTCTCCCTCTCCCGCCACCTGCTGCCACTCTCTCATGTTCTTCCATCCTGGCATGTCCACCAGCTGGTCGGACATGCCAAAAAAAGCCTGCATCAGCTTAGATCAGCTCTCCTTTATTGTAAACTGGAAGCGATGACCTGACATCCCTTGTTTACTTGGAAACTTTCTGTGCCATTTTTGAAAATGTTGAAAGCATTCAAAACACCGATCTTGGTGTTTTGGATGCTTTCAAGTGCAGAGAAAAGGTTTGGGGTCTCATAGACCCCAGATCCCTCCATAAAAATACCACGTGTCTATTGCTGTTTACATTCCTTTTGACAGCAATAAAAGTGATTAAAAAATTTAAAGTGACCGTGTAAAAATTGATTCCAAGCCTAAAATTATTCTACATAAACAAGCGTAATTTTTTTTTCCATGCAGAAACAATTTTTCAGATAGGTTATCAGGGTGATGTCCAAGGTGTTATGAATAATAGGCTTAAGAGGATAGTTTAAAATGTCTAAAACTGACAAAACTACCTACAGCACCTACACATGGGACTGTACCCCCCCACAAACAACCACCCCAATTCCACTCCAACATAACCATCTGATCAAACAAGATGGTAAAGAAAAAAATTAAAACTGAATTGTGGAAAACTATGGCTACGGCCCCATTATTTGGGTTGTAAAAGAGACCAATACCACCGTTTTAAAATTTCCACCAAACCACCATAAACACTGTTCATCCACACCTGTGGGATGACATTACCCTGCTCCGTCTTTTTTGACTCGAGCACCAAGAGCCGTACAAACAAACTGTGTCCTCCCTCACCTGTGGGACTAATATGACAGCGTGATTGAAGATTCAGACTGTTGTATCAGACCGCAGATGCTGGCACCTATAAAGGAAAACACTTCATCTCCATTGGTTGTTTTGATTTGCTTTCAAATTTTGCTTCTAAGCATTTTTTTAACTGCCCAGGATCAAAACGGAGATGATCTTCTGGCAATAGCTGTCTTCTGCTCCATCTGATCAGTGACTAGGATGTGAAGTGGGAAGGGGGCAGACGACCTGGGACTTGGAAAAATAAACAGGGAAAACTAGCCGAGTGATTCTATACCTTTTTATTGTGCTAATTTAATTAAAGCTGTGAACCATGGAAGACCATAAGGGACAAAGGGGCTGGTTGTAGGGGGTAACACATCCCATGGGGACACTTGGTTAGTCCCATGTCCCCAGCAACAGGGTTGATTTACCAAAAATGGAGAGTGCAAAATCTGGTGCAGCTCTGCATAGAAACCAATCATCTTCCAGGTTTTACTGTCAAAGCTTAATTGAACAAGCTGAAGTTAAATGCTGATTGGCTACCATGCAGACCTGCACCAGATTTTGCACTCTCCAGTTTTAGTAAATCAACTCCAATGTCACCAATATTTTCATATATACAAGTGAGACCAGTAAGGAAAATCTGGAAGTTGCTTTGCATTGCTAGAATATCATTCTTCAATTGTTTAGTGATATTTTTCAGGTCCCTCTCATTACTACTTATACAGCTAATCGAGCCAGCCAAACATGCAGGGACCCAATCATTTATATACCTTTTATCTGATGTGCATTTTCACACTTTAGTCATTTCAGGCAAACTCACTTACTGCTTTTGAGCACTTCATATATTTTTTTAAATCTTGTATAAATCATCTGTTAAACACTAAAAAATGTAATCAATGCAAAACATTTTGTCTAACATTGATGACTAAATCAGTGTATTTAGTTGAATGTTAGTATTCCTTGTAGATTTTGCTAACTTTTATGCTTGTATACGTCACCACAATCAATCTCAGTTGGTCAGGTTTTTTTTTTTAAACTAAACACTAGGAACCAATGGCATTTAAATTGCACACAGAGCTATAATAAATTTTATTTTTTTTTTTTTTTTTTTTTTTTTATTTTTTTTTTTTTAGTTTGTCTGTATTTTTTTTGTTTGCATTAAGTAAATCGACACATCTGCCTTAGCCACGGCAATGTACAATTTTCCTGAAGCAATTGTCTTTGTGAGAAAGCTATAGTGACAGGCTGTATAAGCCGGTATAAAGCTTCCTTTAAAGGCCTGCAGGAGAACACTCCACTATTGTGCTAGCAGGGAGGAGCAAGGAACTTTAGGATCTAGGCATTTCTGTGAATTGAAAAATAAAGCTGGAACAATATAGTAAATTGCTATATATATTCTGCTGAGACAGTTCTTCTGGAGGTTTGCAAATTTTCTTGGAATTTTTTTTTTTTACACTTGTTTGCATATACTCATTTTTGTGCAAGCCTTTTTTTTATAGTTCGGTGTTTGTAAAAATTACTTGTCCAGTTCAATCTGCAGACTCTGGGGGAAAAAAAACTGGAAAAATTGAACATGGTTCCCATATATAGGGGAAATTTGTATCATTTTGGTGTGCATAACCTGCCCAATATAATGGCATTTTCTGCTTATGTGATTGGTTTTTCTGTTGTTACTGGGATTATGCTTGGACTGCACATGTTGCTGTAGCAGGAAATAGGAGGTATCATTATGTGAGTTGTAGTACAAATGGCTGCAGATGTGACCAATTAGACTGTAGTACTACTATCACAATAATAATTTGATAAATGTATGTTGTTTAATGCATGCAACTGTCAGTATTCAGTATAAACTATTGCTTCTTTATTTTTAGATGTGCCAAGGGAGCTTAAAGTGATTTGTAAAGGTATTTTTTTAAAAATAATAATGTTATTATCATACTTACCTCCTCTGTGTAATGGTTTTGCACAGAACAGCCCCGATCCTCCTCTTTTGGGGTCCCCCACTGGTGCTCCTGGTCCCCCCCCTTCCGCTAGCCCATATAGCAAGCTGCTTGCTATGGGGGCACTTGTGCAGGCTCGATCATGAGTTGGGCTTTGTGTTTCCATGGGTGCATGACCTAACTTCTCACTCCTTCTTCACAGGCTGTGATGGACAGTAATAGGAGCCAATAGGCTCCCGCTGCAGCTTCCATGTCCAGCGAGGAGACAGCTGCTGCTCTCATGCACATCACTGGATCGAGATCGGGGCTCACATAAATATGTGGGGGGCTGGGGGGGGGAGCTGAACAGAGACTGCTTTGAAGAGTACCTCTGCTTTTGTTGAGGGGAAAAAAACATTCCCTTCTCAGTGATCTATGTACATTGCAAGGATTTTAACCAACTTTGTTGCAGATTCTTACCTTTTTGTGATTCTGAAGAAAGAGCTGCTTGTGTCCATGTGTAAAGTGAATCTAATGGGAGTGGTTTCATAATTATTGATCAGTTGCTGCAGTTGCAGGGCAATGAGGAAAATTGCAGGGTCTGCATCCCTTTAGACGTTATTTCCTATTGGGAGTATCTTACCAAAAATAACATTTTTGTTGCAGGGGATGCCTGTAATCTGACTTGTATCTTAGTGCAGACTTCTGGGGAAATCAGCCAATCACACAAGCAGGAAATGACATTTCTGGGGACATTCTGTATACATTCTGTGTACAGAAAACCTCCAGGTAGCCACATTGCAGTGCAGTTTACAGAAAATTATGCACTGCAGATTGAAAAGGAAAGGTAATAACCATCAATTACAAGATGACTTCTGCCGCAATTGTATATGCTATATTATTAATTTTTTTTTTTAAATTTGCTATTTTTTTTCCTATGAAAGTGGAGTTACCCCTTAAGGTAAAAAACCTGCCTTTACAACCACTTTAAGCATATAAGGAAATGAGACGGGCGGCAGTTCTCTCCTTCTGGGAGGATGTCCTATTACGTCCTCCCACTCTAACTGCGTGATGGGTGGTGCGCTGTATCCCTGGGACACAGTGGATCACCGATCAGAGTAAAGAGCCAATGACGTTGGCTCTGTCATGTGATCAGCTGTGTCCAATCACAGCTGATCACATGTAAACAAGGAAATGTCAGTTATCAGCAGTCCTTTCCTCCAGCTGACAGCGTGTGAGGAGAGCCGATAAGCCACATTCCTCAGAGGGGACATCTACACTGATCATCAGGGCGCTGATGATCAGTGTAGCCCCATCAATGCCACCTGTCAGTGCCTACCAGTGCACATCATGATGCCTGTCAATTCCCACACGTGATGCCTGTCAATGCCTATCAGTGCAACCTACCAGTGCCTCCTCATCAGTTTCGCCTATAAGTGCCCATCACTGCAGCCTCATTAGCGCACATCAGTGAAGGAGAAAAATTACTTATTTCCAAAATTTTATAACATTTTCTGTCTTTTTAGTTTGTTTAGCAAAAAATAAAAAAAAACCCCAGTGGTGATTAAATACCACCAAAAAAAAGCTCTATCTGTCTCAAAAAAATGTTTGGGTACAGTGTTGCATGACCGCACAATTGTCATTCAAAGTGCTGAAAGCTGGCCAGGGCAGGAAGGGGGTAAAAGTGCCCGGTAGATAAGTGGTTAAAAATAGTGCTCTACAGTACAATTATCAGAATACATTTTTAAAATCTGAATTTGTTCTAAATGATATGGGAACCTGGGATTATTTTATTTCATTCCAGCAATAGTCTATGAACCTGTTTGGCAATTTTAATACCTGAACACAATCTTTATTTTCCATGTTCCCATGAATTGATTATGTAAGCTGTAATTATTTGTAGGGAGCTGTACACCTGTTCTACCAGGTATGCAGAATTGTAATTATTATTGATTAATATGGCAACATTTTTCTTCTACTTGCACATTGAAGGTGGACAACGCCCCAGTGGCTACAAAGCGGTTGTCTAGTTCTGGGAGGGTGGCCATGGACATCCTCCCAGAACCCACCCCCTGCGGCAAACACCTGGCGCCGTCGGTGATCACTGTGTCCTATGGTACAGGCCAATCACAGCGGCCTTTTAACATGTGATCCGCTGTGTCCAATGACACAGCGGATCACAATGTAAATACAGTTGCCGTCACAGCGTGAAGAAAGTACTGCCGGTAAGCTGCAGATTTGACAGGGGAGATCTGCACTGATAATCAGTGCCCTGATTATCAGTGCCGCCCAGCAGTGTCGCCCATCATTGCTGCCCAGCAGTGTCGCCAGTCAGTGCCTCCAGTCGGTGCTATCAGTCAGTGCCGCCTATCAGTACCCATGATTGCTGCCTATCAGTGCCCGCCTCATCAGTGTTACCGATCAGTGCCACCTCATCAGTACCCATCAGTGCAGCCTCATCAATGCCCATCAGTGCAGCCTCATCAACACACATCAGTGAAGAAGAAAAATTACCTGTTTGCTAAATTTTATAATACAAACAAAGAAAACATATATTTTTTTTTTTGCTCTTTTTTTTCATTTATAGTGCAAAAAATAAAACCCCCAGTGGCAATTAAATATCACAAAAAGAAATCTCTATTTGTGTGAAAAAAAATATAATTTCATATAGGTACTGTGTTGCATGACTGCGCAATTGTCATTCAAAGTGGAACAGCTCTGAAAGCTGAAAATTGGCCTGGGCAGGAAGGGGGTAGAAGTGCCTAGTAGTTAAGTGGTTAAAGGATAAGTTCAGCTTTGGGAACTTGTTACATCTTCCACCTGTTTTTAAGGTGGAACATGTAACATGTTCCCAATGCTGCAGCCACCACCCTCCCCTCTTCACCCTCCCAGCCTGGCCATGTCATTCATTTAGAGTTCTGTAAATGGGAAAACTACAAGTTCCAACATAATTTGAGGCTGGCAGCTTGTAGTTCTCAATGAACTACCATGACGCTGTTGAGCGCTTTGGTAATTCATTGATTCTTCCTGTCAGTGTGAAATGTACGAGCAGACAGATTACACTGACAGTCCACAGAAGCCCTGCATTGCACCCGTGATATGCTTTCCAGGTTCCTACAAAAAAAATGGTAAATACACTTTTTTTTTTACCTGCAAATAAACTGCTATTATCATTATTATATTTATTTATTTATTTTTTAGTGAACTTATCCTTTTATCTGTGCTATTGTATCTACCCTCAGGAAGAAATACACAAAAGCATGTATAAAAATCACACATTTTTATTACAAAATCCTATTCTAAAAGGTGGGTTAACAACCCCCAGATTAGTAATCTAGGATTAACCATTGCAGGTTGTTTTTTCACAATGATCCGTTGTACCCCTAGCAGCTGCTTTCACTGCTATGATTTGGCTTTGGCAGGTATAGATGGTTTTACATGGGAGGTGGTTGTATCCTAAAATCTGCATTGCTTCTTAGTGTGGGTTGGACACCACCTTGTGGCAGATCATTGGCTGTGCATGCCAAAAATGGATAGACACATGAAATGCTTGGATGATCTGCAACTCTGCCAGTAATGTGTTAACCCTCATGTTCAGCCTCCCTCTCTTTTTTTATTTTTTTTTTTAGTTTGTTGTTTGAGGTTATATTTTGCTGCTGCATTTTATTCACTAATTGATTTTTAAGTTACAAACATGTAAATATTAATCCTTTAATTTCTCATTTACAGTTCTGGTTTCCTGTAACATGCTTATTCCTGGCACATTATTCCCCTCCATCATTCATTTAATGAACCTTGACCCCCAGACAATCGTCATTCACTCCTTTGCATGAAAATCTGCAAGACGTGATCCATAGCATGTTGAGTTTTTATAACATACATTTCATTGTTACCTTATTTTTCATTTGCATGTTTTGTTATATGCATGTTTAATTACACGGAGTTGTTAACCAAAACTTGTGTTTTGTTTTTCAGTAAGTGTTGCATGGAACATGCCTAGAATTGTATGGGTGTTGACTACATTATTGTTCATGCTTAGGGTTAGATTTTCAGTAATAAAGTTGCTGCCAGAATAGTTTTGTGTATCCTCCTGCAATAATCTGAAAGCAAACATTTTACTATGTGTAGAAAACTGACCACTCGAGTTGAACATTATCCCCTTTATTTTGCCCCCTTTTACCTTCCCTAGTATCCTATACAGATTTATGCTTTCAGAAAGGCAGTATTTAAATAGGGCTAGTTGACCCCCCCCCCCCCCCCCCCCCCATTTTAATATGACATCTAGTCAGGGTTTAAAATCTAGTGCAGCTCTGCATAGAAACCAATCAGCTTTCAGTTTTTTTTGTTTTGTTTTTGTCAAAGCTTAAAGTGTTAGTACACCCACAACAGTAAAATCAGTCTGTATATGCAGTAAGCATGCTTGTTATACTCCTTGTGGAACCTAAGGGGTTGATCATCTGCAGTGTGTAAAAAAAAAAAAAAAAGAAAAAAAAAAAAGGGTGCTTGATCCTGTCTTCTCTGATCCTCCCCTTCTTCCAGTGCACCTCTCATCTCCCGATAAGACATATCGTGTGGAGAATCTGCACATGCTCAATTTGGTGTGTAATTTTATTTATTTATTTTTTAATTTATTGGGAGAGTGCATGTTATCAGCACAAGGCCAATCAGCGCTGTCCAGACAGAGGTCAGGGGTTCTACATCCTCTTAGGGAAAACTCCTACAAGCTTTAACCAGTGCTCGGCTGAACACTGATAGAAGTCACAAGACTGCTCTAACTGCTGATGAGAAAAGGTATTTAGCAGTTTATATTTACTAAAATAATTGCATTTCCATGTTCAGTGTATTGTGGGAGACCAGAGAGAGTGAGTGCAGGATTCTGGATTTAGTAACACTTTAATTGAACAAGCTGAACTGAGAAGAGAAGCTGATTGGCTACTATGCGCAGCTGCACCAGATTTTTGAGCTCTCTGGTTTTAGTAAATCAACTGCTTAGTGAGCCATGGCAAAACATGGCAATGATAACGGTGCTCTAAATCAAATTCAGGGTTTAATCGTGACACCCATATTGCACTGTGATGAAATGAGGATAATAGCGACATTGCCTGATATTGACAGGGCTACAGGGGAGTTAATTATCTGACAATATGCTGGTAACAAATGCACAAGTATGACAATGTGTGCAAAAAAGTGCAATTATGACATCATGTGACAATATAGAGGCAATTATATGCAGACAGAAAATGGGTAATTGTAGCAATATGTGACAATAATCAACCCTGCCCCCCCCCCCCTTCCCAAGCAAATTCATTTGCATATATCCATCACACCACGGTGTTATCAAAAACTGCACTGTTTCTGGGATACCATTTTATAGTTTAACGATTACATTTACTTATTGCCCAAAATTTGCTTTTTCAAGGAAACCTGTACTTGGAAAGCATTGAGGATAACCATGCTGAGCTTTCCTTTGGAAAAATGCAAATTCCCTGGCTATAATGGCTTCTCTGACTTGGAACAAGTATAGGGATCAGGAATTCTGACTTCCCTCTTAACTTTATATATCTGCATGATTCTTCTGGGTCAGTGACTGCAATTACCGAGACAGGTAACAATTTTTAAAGTGATTCTGTCATGAGAACTATGGTGGCTGCCATTGTTGGTCCTATTTAAAAATGCTGGTTTCTTGCTTTAATACTTCTGGGCAAACAAGTGTGTTGGAAAAAAAAAAACAAAACATTATTATACTGTACCTGCTCTGGGTCAGGGACTTGGAAAGTATTGGAGCTAAAGCATCAACATAACAGCTAGGGATCCAATATATTCAAAGGAAAGGTCAGCAATTGCAGCACCCATACTTTTCGCATTACAGACACTTTAACCACTTGCCGACCGCAGATAGCCGAATGACTATCCTGCGGACACAGCTGATCACCTGATGTGGTAAAAAGGACAATCACAGCAGCCTTTTACCACGTGTCCAATGACACACTGATCACCGGGAACTGCAATTGCCAGTTGTCAGCTGCATTTTCCTCACGATGTCACAACGTGAGGAAAGTACTGCCGAGAATCGGCAGTTGTCAGAGGAGGGATCGGCACCAATCAGGGCACTGATGATCGGTGTCCAGCAGTGCTACCCACCTGTGCCCAGCAGTGCCGTCATTCAGTGCCCACTATCAGTGCCCATCATCGGTGCTGCCTATCAGTGCATCTTCATCAACGCACATCAGTAAAGGAGAAAAATTACCGGTTTACAAAATATTTTAATAGAAACAAAGAAATGCTTATTTTTTTTTCAAATTGCCCTTTTTTTGTTTATAGCGCAAAAAATGAAACAAACACCCAGCGATGAGTACTTACCACCAAAAGAAAGATCTATTTGTGTGAAAAAAATTCGAAAAATTTCATATGGTACAGTGTTGCATGACCGCGCAATTGTCATTCAAAGTGCGGCAGCACTGAAAGCTGAAAATTGGCCTGGGCAGGAAGGGGGTATAAGTGCCCTGTAGGCAAGTGGTTAGGAAGGCAGGGGTTGGCAATGGCAGGCTAAATGCTATCTCTTAGTACATGTTTCTTCTAATCCTGCAGATTGAATAAGTGAGCAAGACTAGAAATAGCCTTATTAGCAATACAAATGCCATGTCAATATCTGTGCAAAAATAGTTAATATATGTGATGATATATAATACATTTTGGGATATTTTTCACTTCTGTTTAAATAAAAATGCAAACCTCACTTTGTACTGGTGATTTATTAACTGTATGTTTGATTACATCATATTAACTTCGTATTGCACTTTTTTCTTTCCAGTAACCCTTGGCTGTGCACTGAGTAGCCTTCTACAATGATGGAAGATGCATTTTCTAAATTAGCATCTATATCCTGTGTATCATTTTGATGCAAGATCAAATCCGTATGCTAGTTTACATCTAGCTTATGTCACTATCATTTTTTCCTTTTTGTCATTTGAAAAGGTTTTCTAAATACTGGGGCAAAGATAAAACCATTGTACATAGTCACCATTCACATTTTATCAGCCATTCTCAGGCCTGCATTTTGGTGCTATTTACAACAGCTTGAAGTGAAAGTATAGTGTCATTTCAGTGACTTTATATTTTCGGATCTTATTGCAGTCTTTGCCTAGTTATTTGTTCTATAATGTTCACATAAGAATTTTAGATTAGCAAACACTGGCTTGCTCAAGTTTCTCTACTAGGGTGGATGTGTAGCATTTGCAAAAGCAGGAGGCAAAGTCTGCTGCTTGTAATAGGCACAAGGGGCTTTCTTATATACTGTACATACACGATTCTAAAATACACATTCATTCAACATATGCTGGTATATATTAATATCATTAAAAAATGCTGAAAAGACAATACAATGCTATTAGGTTTCAGTCCCAGATGTCCTAAAGTATCATTCCAACAGAGTGCTTTATAAGTATGCGCCATGCTTATACGTATCTGTCTGCCATGCTCTGAAAAACTAAAAATGTACCTAAAAATATGAAAAAAAAGTTTAAATTACTACTGA